CGAGATATCACTGCCCAATAACGCCTTGTGTGAGTCCCCAAAGGAAGAACACTACAAGAAGTGTGCAACAGCAGAAGTCTTTGAGAGGTAAAGGTAAAACAAACTTAGGGCAACGAACGTGTGTAAACTAGGTCCACGAACCAATCAGCTTCTCTTCTAGATTGGCCACCGGTGCGATTGGCTAGTGACTCGACGGCTGACTGCAACTTGAAATTTGAATTATCGATTGATTGACGGCCTGTGCACATTCGCCCGTGTAGGCCGATCTATAGCCTGCTTGCAGTGCGGCTATGGCTTGCAAGCTAAGTGCTTGTTAAGGCTGTTCGCTAGGCCGTCCTTGCACAATGTATTCTGAAGAGATTGATCGGATAGAGAAGAAGCAGCTGTGCTTGCTGGGACAAAAGTGTCGAAATCCGTCGCGGATCCATCAAAAGAGACAATAGCAGAAACGGGTAGTTGGTTCAGAGGATATGACAGCCAAATGGAGGAGTGATCTATTGTGTACAGAACTCCCAATTAATGTCCCAGGCAGTAGTGGCCACTGGCAAAGCCAGGGCTAGTGTTGACTGCGTCCAGCCAGACCTGAGACTGTCGACTGTAGAGGGACCGTGTTGTATTGGCCAAGGGGTGACGTACACAAGTGGCCCTTAGACAGGCGTGCTTATTTGGACGCACGTGTATGCGCAGGTGTGTGCGTCACTGAAGGTCAACTGTGGGGGCCGCCGGAACGCCGAAGGACAGGGAGACTGACGCAGCTGTTATCGGTTAGCCAGAAGCAGCTGCGAGGTCAAGCCTCGGGGGACGGGGGTGCTAGTGAATAAAAGAATCGAAATAGTTGTTTGTTATGATGCATGACTTTGGGGGAGCGAGCATTGGAGAATGAAGCAGACAGAATTGTTGGATGTCCGCCACAGAAGCCTTGTGTGAATTTAATAAAACCAGTCAGCATTAAAAGGACTACACCAATGCACATATGCGAAATTCAACAGTAAGACCCAAGAGACGACCGTGAGCGGATCAAAACCTTGATATGATATAATCCATCTCCACAAGACACAATTTGTTTGCATTTAAGGATTTCCCAATTAAAACTCTAGACAAAGGAAGCATAAAAGTGCCACCTCCCTTACTATACATGTTATTTGTTATTCCTTTGAAAAGCCACCGTTTAATGAGGGCAAACGCTCCTTGATTCCTAATCCTGACGCAACTTATTTGGGGCATGCGTTCAGCGCCGCAGTCGTAATAGATTCTTGTCTGGAAACATGTCTAAGTCGGCCTTGCAGTTGATTGGTCAGTTTTGCCAACTATGATTGGCCGATAATCAGGCCGTTACTGACACATGCCTGCAAGTACGCACGATAGGCACAGCGTTTTGACAGGCACCCGGGTTAAGGTTACTACGAGTGCTCCATCGCAGACCTGAGTTCGAGTGAACAATCCGAAAGGAAGAAAAACAGTTAAATTTACTGAATGAAAAATTTACCAACGGTTGCATTATACACGACATGGATGGCTGGTGCTGACAGAAGGCAGTCAGGATAAACGAATGGCTGGATAAATTTGGTGTTTTATTTACTTGCTTGCAGTTCTCACGACTGCGATCAGGACTGATCTAACCGGCGTCAGTGATGTCCCGGATGGTACTTCGCCACGCGTGACGATTCTTGGCAGCAGAGAGTTCAGTCCATTTTCTTTGCTAAACCAGAGGACGAATACCAAAGGCACAAGAATCCCTTCCATGTCTTGACACACTGTGTCGACTCCAATTGGGCATTGGTGTCGGTTCGACTGCAGTAGCACTGAGGTCCTAGGGTTAACGACGGGAAACGTGCCAAACCACCTCAGTCGTATTTCTTGGATGGCCTGGGATAAGCTTGCGATGTTGTCGTAGCGAGTGCAGACTGTCTCATTTGAGACGAAATCGGTATACTTCACTCGAAGGATGGCGCTCAAGCAGTAGTGACCAAATGCCTCCAGTTTTATTTCATCTTCCACGTGCATAGCCCAGAAGTCACGGCCACAGAGGAGGACAGACCGAACGGATGCACGGTACACGCGAAGCTCAGTGGATATCGTCGAATTCGACTGTTGAACTACCCCGTCGCACGTTCTGTTAACAACGCTATTGTTTGAAATCTGGAGAAGGCCCTACACGAAGACAACGGTGTTGAGTTTGCGCCCCGACTGACTGTTCTGGACTACGCCAATGATATCGCCTTACTAGCCTCTAGCTTTGGTTATCTGCAGCCTGAGGTGAATGGTCACAGATGAATAAGGTCGATAAATCGGTCGGTTGACCCGTAGACAATGAGCAAACTAAATTGTGTTCAAGCAGCCGTGCTGCCCAGGAGTAGACAATTGCAAGTAGACCAGTGTGAGGCTGCTGTCAAATTGACAGAGTTT